CTTCCCCTTTTAGTGCTGGGAGCTAACCAACCAAAACATCCCCACTGAATGTTAGTAAGGGGGCAACAGTCCCCTTACACAAGCTAAGTTTAAGACGAGACAACAGATAGATACAAGCAGACAGATGGGAGGAGAACAAGGAAACAATGAGATGATATTGGTCGATGTGATCGGCAGTGGTCTCAGCACACCAGTGGCCTCATTGTTGTTAAGTTTTGTTGTAGGCCTCCCGGCAAAGGAGAGCTTGAAGGAGGGTTGTGCAGGAGACAAGGCAGTAGTTTTGTGGCCGTTTCCAGGGAGCTCGTCCCAAGTGTAAGGGGTGGCGCGAGAGACAGCACAAAGGGGCTGGTTGGAAAACATAACAACTGGGCAATGGAGGCCAGCACGAGGGGCCAATCAGAGATGCGACTTGACAGCTCAACACAAACTGAGAGATGATAGGTCGGGGGGATGGAGGGGGAAGAGGCTGATAAGGGCCTAGAAAGGGAAGAGCAGCAGCTTGTGTTTGATATGATAGAGAAGAGGGAGCTAGGGGAGGGCTGCAAACAGAGGGGTGACGTGGTCACAGCAACATTCTGATGGAGATGAATGGGGCATTGTTGCCATGGCAAGGGGTGAATGGCCTACGACATCGTGTAAGGTGGTGGTAGCCAGGTGCCACTAGAATGACTTGCGATGGTGTTGTGAGGGCGACGGTAAGCAAATGACATCACCATGACTACCATGACTGTGACGATGTTCTGGAGGAATGGGGGTGACCAGACAATGCAATGAAATAGCAGGGAGGATGGTAGACCGGTGACATCACCATGGTGACAGTAACTGCAGAATGACATCACAGGGAGGGTAATGACAGTGCAGACATAACAGGGAGAGTAGCAACCTGCTGGGTGATGTTGACATGGCAACAGTGACTGGACGCTGCCATAGCAGGGACTGTGGGAACCAGGTGATGTCCCTGTGTGACTCCCCTGTCTCCTCTCTGGGAGTCTGAGTGCTGGGTCCTGGGGTCCCATCTTCCCCAAGGGGGTCCCCTGCCCTGGCAGGGCCTTTCTTTGCATATCCATGTGGGGGAGCAGGCCCTGGGCTCTCTGCTTCACCCCAGGGTTCTCATCGCCTATTGACCCCGTCCCTCTCTCGTGCCCCAGGTGTGTGGCCCCACAGTGCACCGGGCCTGCGGGGAGAACATGTACGTCAATGGCTACTGCTTCCTCCTGGACCAGAGCCTCCAGCAGCTTCGGCGCATCCCGGACACCCTGGCAGGTGAGGGGCAGCCCCCTGGGCAGGAACCAGAACTTGGAGGTCACGCGGGGAGGAGAGGAGATGGGTCTAGGCGGGCCCATGGGTCTGATATGGGTTGGGATAGCAGGCTAGGTCAGCTCATTGGTTTGATTTAGGATGTCAATAGGAGCTGGGAGTCAGGACTCCTGGGTTCTGTCCCAGTTCTGGGAGGGGGGTGGGGTGTATTTTTTTCATCCCAGTGCATGTCATGTTCTACTCTCAGGACCTCTCAATGTCAGGGAAGGGATGATATTGCGACAGAGGGGCCCATTGGTCTGATCCGGGGTTGCAGGGAGGGGGCAGGATACCAGGTTAGATGGACCCAGAAAAGCAGACTTTGACTCCCTCAGGGAATTGATGGGCAGGATCCCCTGGGAGAATAACATGAGGGGGAAAGGAGTCCAGGAGAGCTGGCTGTATTTTAAAGAATCCTTATTAAGGTTGCAGGAAAAAACCATCCCAATGTGTAGAAAGAATAGTAAATATGGCAGGTGACCAGCTTGGCTTAACAGTGAAATCCTTGCTGGTCTTAAACGCAAAAATGAAGCTTACAAGAAGTGGAAGATTGGACAAATGACCAGGGAGGAGTATAAGAATATTGCTCAGGCATGCAAGAGTGAAATCAGGAAGGCCAAATCACACTTGGAGTTGCAGCTAGCAAGACAGTAACAAGAAGGGTTTCTTCACGTATGTTAGCAACAAGAAGGTCAGGGAAAGTGTGGGCCCCTTACTGAATGAGGGAGGCAACCTAGTGACAGAGGATGTGGAAAAAGCTAATGTACTCAATGCTTTTTTGCCTCTGTCTTCACGAACAAGGTCAGCTCCCAGACTGCTGCACTGGGCAGCACAGTATGGGGAGGAGGTGACCAGCCTCTGTGGAGAAAGAAGTGGTTCGGGACTATTTAGAAAAGCTATATGAGCACAAGTCCACAGGGCCGGATGCGCTGCATCCGAGGGTGCTAAAGGAGTTGGCGGATGTGATTGCAGAGCCATTGGCCATTATCTTTGAAAACTCATGGCGATTGGGGGAGGTCCCGGATGACTGGAAAAAGGCGAATGTAGTGCCCATCTTTAAAAAAGGGAAGAAGGAGGATCTGGGGAACTACAGGCCAGTCAGCCTCACCTCAGTCCCTGGAAAAATCATGGAGCAGGTCCTCAAGGAATCAATTCTGAAGCACTTAGAGAAGAGGAAAGTGATCAGGAACAGTCAGCATGGATTCACCAAGGGCAAGTCATGCCTGACTAAGCTAATTGCCTTCTATGAGGAGATAACTGGCTCTGTGGATGAGGGGAAAGCAGTGCATGCATTATTCCTTGACTTTAGCAAAGCTTTTGATACGGTCTCCCACAGTATTCTTTCAGGCAAGTTCAAGAAGTATGGGCTGGATGAATGGACTGTAAGGTGGATAGAAAGCTGGCTAGATCATCGGGCTCAACGAGTAGTGATCAATGGTTCCATGTCTAGTTGGTAGCCGGTATCAAGCGGAGTGCCCCAAGGGTTGGTCCTGGGGCCGGTTTTGTTCAATATCCTCATTAATGATCTGGAGGATGGCGTGGACTGCACTCTCAGCAAGTTTGCAGATGACACTAAACTGGGAGAAGCGGTAGATATGCTGGAGGGCAGGGATCGGATACAGAGGGACCTAGATAAATTAGAGGATTGGGCCAAAAGAAACCTGATGAGGTTCAACAAGGACAAGTGCAGAGTCCTGCCCTTATGACAAAAGAATCCCATGCACTGCTACAGAGTAGGGACCGAATGACAAGGCAGCAGTTCTGCAGAAAAGGACCCAGGGGTTACAGTGGATGAGAAGCTGGCTATGAGTCAACAGTGTGCCCTTGTTGCCAAGAAGGCTAACGCCATTTTGGGCTGTATAAGTAGGGGCATTGGCAGCAGATCGAGGGACATGATCATTCCCCTTTATTCGACATTGGTGAAGCCTCATCTGGAGTACTGTGTCCAGTTTTGGGCCCCACACTACAAGAAGGATGTGGAAAAATTAGAGTCCAGCAGAGGGCAACAAAAATGATTAGGGGGCTGGAGCACATGACTTATGAGGAGAGGCTGAGAAAACTGGGATTGTTTAGTCTACAGAAGAGAAGAATGAGGGGGGATTTGATAGCTGCTTTCAACTACCTGAAAGGGGGTTCCAAAGAGGATGGATCTAGTCTGTTCTCAGTGGTACCAGATGACAGAACAAGGAGTAATGGTCTCAAAGTGGTAGTGGGAGAGATTTAGGTTGGATATTAGGAAAAACTTTTTCACTAGGAGGGTGGTGAAGCACTGGAATGGGTTACTTAGAGAGGTGGTGGAATCTCCTTCCTTAGAGGTTTTTAAGGTCAGGCTTGGCAAAGTCCTGGCTGGGATGATTTAGTTGGGGATTAGGTCCTGCTTTGAGCAGGGGGTTGGACTAGATACCTCCTGAGGTCCCTTCCAACCCTGATATTCTATGATTCTATGACCCATTGGTCTGGTATAGCTTTTTCTACTGGGTTTTTTCCATGTTTGTAGTGCTGAGTCAGGAGTCGGATGTATTTCTTTCCTGTCCCTCTCAGAGTGCCCCAGACGTGCCACAGACATAGCGCTCCTCATCGACGGCTCGGGCAGCATCAGACCTTATGACTTTGGAAAGATGAAGACGTTTCTTTCTGAGATCATGAAGCGTTTCCGCAGCGCCGACACGCAGGTAACAGGCAGAAGCTGAACCCTGACTACGTACCCTGCCCCTTGCAGTCAGTGCTGACCCTAATACCCCAGTGTGGCGCTAGGGGGCGCTGTGGTGCAGGGAGCAGCAATGGATTTTGCATCCAAAACCAGGAATAAATTCCTGTAGAACCAGCTACATCCTGACCGCCTGCCCCAGCCCTTAACTGAGTCTAATTCCTGCTTTTCTGAACTTCCACCCCTGGGTTGTTTTTCTCTTTTCTCCCCTGTCTCCTGCAGTTCGCCCTCATGCAGTACTCAGATGAATTTAAACAGCACTTCGACTTCTCACAGTACAGAAGGAGCAGGAACCCCGATAGTCTTGTCAGGTTGGTCGAGCAGCTCAGGGGAACGACGCACACAGCCAGCGCCATCAGGAAAGTGGTGTAGGTATTGCCCTCCTCCCCATGCTGACTTCACAGGGAATGGGCTGCAAGGACATACAAGCTAAGGGACAGGGACTCAAGACTCCTGGGTTCTATCCCCAACTGTGGGAGGTGATTGGGGACCAGTAGGTTAAAGCAGGGGGAGATGCTGGGAGCCAGGAATCTGGGGTTCTATTGCCAGCTCTGAGCCTCTGTTGCTTTAAGCAAGTCACGTCCACGCCCTGTGCCTCAGTTTCCCCTTCCGTAAAATGGGGACATGACAGTGGCCTCCTTCGTAAAGGACTTTGAGATCTGCAATGCCAAAGCAGTGGATGAGCACTAGGTGTTATTACGTATCAATAACCCTCCCATGCCTTCCCCACCCCCCTTTTCCAGGCGGGAGCTGTTCACCTCTAGGAAAGGAGCTCGGGATGAGGCCACCAAGGTTCTCATTGTGATCACAGATGGGGAGAAATATGAAGATCCACTTTCTTATTCAGACGCCGTCCCAGAGGCTGAGAGAGCTGGAATCATCCGCTACGCCATCGGGGTGAGCTGCGACTGTGCGGAGAACTTGTATGGATCTGAACCTGTGTCCAGGTTCCCATCAGATAAGGGAGAAGAACTGACCCTGGCTTGTGACCGGGTCAACGTGTGACATTAGAGGAGAGCTGGAGCTCCTCTATTGTTAAGGTTGATAGGAATTTTCCAGTTACAGGTCAGGTTTTCTAACTGCCCTATGGTCCACGTGCTGACTCAGATTGTTTTTGAAATGTGTTATGCCTCATGAGGATGCAGGTTAGGATTAGTGGTCCAAATTTGGGGTTACTTGAGTAAGGGGTTCCTGAGATACAGCCCCCCAGTTAAACAGCAAAATCACCAGTTCTTTTCTGCACACACCTGAAGCTCAAAAAGTGGCTCTGAACTTCCCCAAACTGATCTCAGTCACTTGACGTTTATCTCTGCAAGTGCACGGCCCCCACTGCCCCTCTGGGGGAGACGTATTCAAAAGATTATTAATCTTAGACACTGGATGCCTAGAATGGCACATGCCAAACTGCTGAGCCAAAGAGATTGAAATGAGCATCAAGATCTAGGGCTCTTGTGAAGCAAGAGGGTATTTATGTGGCTCAAGGTGACAGCAGGTTGCCATTCACCCTGAATTGGTCCCGTGCCCTGTGGGTTCAATTCTTGCTATTGGCTAATGTTCCTGTCATTCTGCAGTGTCTCCCTTTGGATTTTTTTGCCCTGAGATCAAAATTTCCAGCTGAAGAACCATATTTGAAAGTGCTCGAAAACCCACATGAATGCTCTGAATTTGCATAAGAGGTGTGGTCAAGGGAATCAGTATTTTTTAAACAGACAGCTGATGAAAGACAGTAAAGGAAAATGTAATAGTGTCTCCTGAACAATGGAACTGAGCGTGAACAATAGAATCATAGACTTTAAGGTCAGAAGGGACCATTATGATCATCTAGTCCGACCTCTTGCACAACACAGGCCACAGAATCTCACCCACCCACTCCTGTATCAAATCTGTGTCTGAGCCATTGAAGTCCTCAAATCATGGTTTAAAGACTTCAAGGTGCAGAGAATCCACCAGCAAGTGACCCATGCCCCACGCTGCAGAGGAAGGCGAAACCCCCGTGGGACCTCTGCCAATCTATCCTGGAGGAAAATTCCGTCCCAACCCCAAATATGGCGATCAGCTAAACCCTGAGCATGTGGGCAAGACTTACCAGCCAGACACCCAGGAAAGAATTCTCTGTAGTAACTCAGATCCACCCCATCTAACGTCCCATCACAGGCCATCGGGCATATTTACCGCTAATAGTCAAAGACCAATTAATTGCCAAAATTAGGCTATCCCATCCTACCACCCCCTCCATAAACTTATCAAGCTTAGTCTTGAAGTCAGATATGTCTTTTGCCCCCACTGCTCCCCTTGGAAGGCTGTTCCAGAACTTCATTCCTCTGATGGTTAGAAACCTTCATCTAATTTTAAGTCTGAACTTCCTGATGGCCAGTTTATATCCATTTGTTCCTGTGTCCACATTGGTACTGAACTTAAATAATTCCTCTCCCTCCCTGGTATTTATTCCTCTGATATATTTATAGAGAGAGCAATCATATCTCCCCTCAGCCTTCTTTTGGTTAGGCTAAACAAGCCAAGCTCTTTCAGTCTCCTTTCATATGACAGGTTTTCCATTCCTTGGATCATCCTAGTAGCCCTTCTCTGTACCTGTTCCAGTTTGAATTCATCCTCCTTAAACATGGAGACCAGAACTGCACACAGTATTCCAGATGAGGTCTCACCAGTGCCTTGTATAATGGTACTAATACCTCCTTATTTCTACTGGAAATACCTCTCCTGATAAATCCAAAGACCTCATTAGCTTTTTTCACGGCCATATCACATTGGCGGCTCATAGTCATTCTGTGATCAACCAACACTCCAAGGTTCTTCACCTCCTCTGTTACTTCCAACTGATGCATCCCCAGCTTATAACAAAAATTCTTGTTATTAATCCCTAAATGCATGACCTTGCACTTTTCACTATTAAATTTCATCCTATTACTATTAATCCAGTTTACAAGGTTATCCAGATCTTCCTATATGATATCCCGGTCCTTCTCTGTATTAGCAATACCTCCCAGCTTTGTGTCATCCGCAAACTTTATTAGCACATTCCCACTTTTTGTGCCAAGGTCAGTAATAAAAAGATTAAATAAGATTGGTCCCCAAAACGATCCCTGAGGAACTCCACTAGTAACCTCCCTCCACCCTGACAGTTCACCTTTCAGTATGACCCGTTGTAGTCTCCAGTTCCTTATCCACCTTGCAATTTTCATATTGATCCCCATCTTTTCCAATTTAGTTAATAATTCCCCATGTGGAACCGTATCAAATGCCTTACTGAAATCGAGGTAAATTAGATCCACTGTGTTTCCTTTGTCTTAGAACTCTGTTACCTTCTCAAAGAAGGAGATCAGTTTGGTTTGGCACGATCTACCTTTTGTAAAACCATGTTGTATTTTGTCCCAATTACCATTGACCTCAATGTCCTTAACTACTTTCTCCTTCAAAAATTTTTCCAAGACCTTGCTTACTACAGATATCAAACTAACAGGCCTATAGTTACCCGGATCACTTTTTCCCCCCTTTCTTAAAGATAGGAACTATGTTAGCAATTCTCCAGTTGTATGGTACAACCCCTGAGTTTACTGATTCATTAAAAATTCTTGCTAATGGGCTTGCAATTTCATGTGCCAGTTCCTTTAATATTCTTGGTTGAAGATTATCTGGGCCCTCCGATTTAGTCCCATTAAGCTGTTCGAGTTTGGCTTCTACCTTGGATGTGGTAATATCTACCTCCATATCCTCATTCCCATTTGTCATCCTACCATTATCCCTAAGCTCCTCATTAGCCTCATTAAAGACTGAGGCAAAGTATTTGTTTAGATATTGGGACATGCCTAGATTATCCTTAACCTCCACTCCATCCTCAGTGTTTAGTGGTCCCACTTTTTCTTTGTTTGTTTTATTCTTATTTATAGAAGCTGGGTTATTCCATTAACTTCCTTAATGCAGCGTTAAGGTTTCCCAGTGCTGCTTCATGCCCTTCCCGACTGTGGAGAGTGGCTGCACTTAGGCCTCTGAAATCCATGAAATACACAGTTAAGGCAAACACCCTCACAACCTTAACTCTGCGATCTTTGAGGCATACCCCAGCACACCAGGAACACACACAGGCCCTTACATAGGCTACAGAGTGCTGGGCGCAGAGCACGTGAGCACTAGGGGGCCAGGCCCATCACCTTCCGTTTGCCAAGGCAAAACTCGGGTTTAGAGTCATAGATTCCCAGGCCAGGAGAAACATTTGCAATAATCTAGTCTGAACTCCCGTGTAGCACAGGCCAGAGAACTGCCCCAAATAATCCATGCTGGAACCAGAGCAGATCTTTCAGAAAACCAGCCAGTCTTGAAATAAAAATTGCCAGAGATGGAGAATCCACCGTGGCACGTGGTGAGCTGCTCCAATGGTTAATTCCCATCATGGTTAAACCTGACACCATCTTTCCAGTCTGAATGGGTGTAAATTCCGCTTCCAGCCACAGGATCTTGTTCGACTTTTGTCTGCAGCTTTTGTCAGGCCCAGCGACCAGGAGGTGCCTGACTCCACTGCTGAACCGATTGCACACAACCCACCCAGACCAGCGTGGTGGTCTCAGCCCTTCACTCCTTGCCCTGAGGCGTCCCCCAGAGACATTGCAGCACTCACCCCTCACTACAGCCTGGAGATTGAGTCATGCAGGGCCCCAGAGTGCTGACAATCCCCATGGCAAGAAAACCCCTGTGCCCCACTGCTGATACAACCGACACAACTCGGTGCTGAAATGAGGCAGGCTCCATAACTCCAGGCACGAGGGCCCCTCTCCTCACATCACAGTGACACTTGTGCCAAGCTGCTCCAGCGGCCCCCCAACCCCCACTCACCAGAGCAGCACATGGCGCTGGCTGAGCCGTGCCTCTCGAGGGCCCAGCAGGGCTCAGGGCGGGTGGGTGTTGGTCCAGAGCTCTCGGCTGTGATTGACGCTGATGCCCTGGTCTCCCCTGTTCCTCCCTCTACTCCGTGAAGGTCGGCCAGGCCTTCTCCAGTGCTGCTGCCCAACGGGAGCTCCAGGAGATCGCCTCTCAGCCCAGCAATGAGCACGTCTTCCGGGTGGACAATTTTGACGCCCTCCAGGGCATCCAGAGCCAGCTGCAGGAGAAGATCTTCGCCATCGAAGGTACCAGAGCCGGGGGAGGGGACGCAGTGGCCCCGGGGCTCTAGAAATGGGTTTTCAAGGCCGAGATGGGACGGGGAGCAGCTGGGAATCCAGAGCTCAAATAGGCCCCAAATAGTCTCTCTTTCCCCATCCAACATCTATCTACTGATCTATCTCCATATATCCCCCAAATGCCTTTCTCATCCGGGGGCCACCGGGCAGGGGCCTGGCTGGCTCCAGGGGTTGAGGAATGGGATACGGGGACTTCTCTCTAGGGGGCGCTGGATCCAATTCAGCCTCGAGGTGGGGAGAAGGGCTGGCTCAGGGAATGGGACACGGGGCCTTTACCGTCTATGATGGTCTCTCCCGTGTCTGTCTGTCTCTTCTCCCAGGCACCCAGTCCCAGAGCGGCAGCTCCTTCCAGCTGGAGATGTCTCAGGAAGGATTCAGCTCCCTGCTGTCTCCTGTGAGTGATGCCTGGCCCCAGGGCGTCTCCCATGGTGCCGTGCGCTGGGGCCCTGACAGCGCTTTCAAGCTAAGAAGGAGCTGGTTGGCCTAGTGCTTGCAGGGGAGACAACCCTTTACTAGCCCAGAGTGCTGCGGGAGCAGTGCAGGGGACACCCTCCCCTCCCACTCAGGGTGGGCACTAGGGGGCTCTATGTGCAGCGGGGGCCAGTAGGGGCCCCGTAGGGGATGCTCACTCCCATGGCCATCAGCACTGACCCCAGTGTCCTAGCATGATGCTAGGGGGCGCTGTGCTGCAGATTCTGGCCTTGTCTAGTAAATACATTCTGCACTGTGGGTTTCCTGTAATCAGTCCCCTTTGCCGTGCGTGTCGGTTTAGGACGGACCTGTGCTGGGAGCGGTGGGAGCCTATGACTGGTCCGGCGGGATATACCTGTACGGGAGCAGCGGGGAGCCGAGCTTCATCAACGTATCCAGAACCTCCACTGACATGAATGATGCTTACCTAGGTAAGAACAAACCCACCGAGCTTCCCTTACCTATTTAAACAGCCCCCACACCCCACCCCAGAGGTGGCTGCATCTCAGTTCTGGGAAAGTTCTGTGCAGCACTGTTGTATGGCTGTTTCCCATCTCACCTCCCCACGTCCCTCTCTTCCTTTGAGGTTATTCGTCTCAGGTCATCACAGCCAATGGGCAGAGCAGCTACGTGGTCGGGGCCCCTCGCTACCAACACGCCGGCAAAGTCGTCCTGTTTAGCCGAGATACCAAGGGCGGGGAATGGACAAATAGATCGGAGGTGTTCGGAGAACAGGTATGGAGAGCATTACTGGTAATATGGAGTGTGGGTGTGAGAGAGAGAAGGCTGGAGGAAGCCTGTAAGATTTTGACATTGTGTAATATTTGTGTTTGGATCAGGGGCGGCCAAACTTTTTGGCCTGAGGGCCACATCGGGTTTTGGAAATTGTATGGAGGGCCGGTTAGGGGAGGGGGCCATGGCCCGGCCCCCACCCCCTATCCGCCCCCCGGGGACTCCTGACCCATCCAACCCCCCCGTTCCCTGTCCCCTGTGTGAAATGGGCAACTGGCTGCTTAGAGTAAGGCAGCCGTGCACATGCCCTGCCCTTGAGGCAGCAACATAAGGAAATTCTACTGCAAAAAATTTAGGCACCAAGTCAGGTTAGGCACCTATAGGGGTTAGCAGTAACCATGCAGAGGTTTTGTGGATCATAATGGCACCTAAGTCTGGGGGTTAGGCACATAAGCACCTTTGTGTATCTGGGCTAGAGAGACTCAGGCAAGGAAAAAACGTTGCTAGTGATATTAACAGTGTCTGGAAAGGATCATACTACACTAACAAAGTGAATTTCTCTAAGCTCCAACTGCCTATACATTCCAGCTGAACAGAATTTATAACTGTGGCTCAGTCAGTGAATAAACTTTACTCGTGCTAGCACAACCTCTAAAAAGAATTGCACCACAACTAGCATTCAGCATCTCTCCAAGATCTAACTGCCTATATATTCAGGAACACTTCCAGCGATAGCGCCACCTGCTGTGCAACAGGAGGGTGACTCTAAGGATGGAATGAGGATTGGGACTGAATCCTTATCCCCATAGGGTGAGAAGGGTCCCAGTGGGAGAAGAAGGAGGAAGTGACTAAATTGAAGGGGTTACTTATCTGCCTCTCCAGATCGGCTCGTATTTTGGGGGAACACTGTGCGCTGTGGACCTCGACAGAGATGGGAACACAGACCTGGTTCTAATTGGAGCCCCCATGTTCTATACACCTCTGAATGGAGGACGGGTCTATAATTGCCTGATTAACTGGCCGGTAAGAAAGAGGATGGAGCCAGAGGGAAGATGGATGGCCTGGGGTTCTTCTTTGCCTGGACTGCCATGGGGTTGTGATGCTGGGACAATTAGCATGGTAGTAGCAGGTGTGGTGCTCCAGGGAGCAGGGTGGGGGGATCAATAGGGGACGCTCTTCCCTGCCAGTCAGTGCTGGCCCCAATGCCCCAGAGTGGCAACAAGGGGCGCTGTGCTGCAGAGAGAGGGAAAGGGGGTCAGTAGGGGGCACTCTCTGCTGATAGTCAGTGCTGATCCTTTTCCCATGTGTCTCTTCGGATAGGGCCTGCAGAAGATGACACTGATCTGCAGTAAGACACTGCAAGGACAGACGGGGCAGGCGTTCGGGCGCTTCGGGGCCAGCATGTCTGAAATCGGGGACATCAGCGGGGACGGTCAGACGGACGTGGCCATCGGGGCCCCCATGGAGAATGACAATCGCGGGGCCTTGTACATCTTCCATGGGGGAAAGGGAGGCCTCAGTCCCCAGTACAGACAGGTGAGCCCAGCTCCTGCGGGGAGGGGTCACCACAGATCCTGAAAGAGACATCATGGGGCCCCATGGTCCCCTAGTGCCTATTAGCCTGTAGCAGCTACTTTCCCATCCCTCACCCTCTGCTGCCCCCTAGTGCCCATTATACAGTACAGCCGCCCCTTCCCCATCCCTCACTGCTCTCTCTGCCCCACAGCGCATCGAGGGGTCGCTGTTTCCCAGCAGGCTGCACTACTTTGGCCAGGCTGTCAGTGGCGGGACAGACCTGACGGGGGACGGACTCCCAGACATCGCGGTGGGGGCACAAGGGCAGATCCTGCTGCTGAGGTGAGTTACTCTGTGTCATTTCACTGCTCCACATGGCAGTCGCAGACAGCGACAATACATGGGGGTTTGGGAGCATGTGTGTGTCACTGCTGCCCCCTGCTGGAGAATGGCACAATGACAGCTCTGCTGCTCCCTTCTCTGTCCCCCAGCATCTCCTCTAGCAGAGCTGCGTGTCCATAACCAACCTCCCTGGGGTGCTGTGAGCACATCCAGGCTGGGTGGGAGGCTCTGGAGGGGGCCTGGCCCCATTGCAGGGAGCAGCTGGGTGATGGTTCTGTTCCCCCCATGGCAGGTCCCGGCCAGTGCTCAGAGTCAGGGTCTCCATCAGCTTCCAGCCCCCCACGATCCCCACCGCGGCCTTCAACTGCCAGGAGCAGGAGCAGCTCAACACGAAGGCCAGCACGGCAAATGTCTGCTTCACCGTCACTAAGAGCACCATGGACAGCCTAGGTCAGACCAAACCCACCCCCCGAGCCAGTCAGTCTCCTGCCCTGGGGTTGGATTGGAACCAGCGCCCTCTGGGGGGAAAGGCCCCATGTCTCATTCCCCACCCCCATGAGCCAGCTAGTGCCCCATCCTGTAACTGGATTGGAGCCAGTGCCCCCTAGAGGGGGAAAAACGTAATCCATTTCCACCTCTTGACCCAGCCAGTCCCTCTGCCCTATGGCTGGATTGGAGGTGGTGCCCTGTAGAGGGGAAATCCTCGCATTCCATTCCCACCTCCTGAGCCAGCCAGTCCCAGCCCTGGGGCCAGATTAGAGCTGGTGCCCCCCTAGAGGGGAAAGGCCCCATGTTCTGTATCCCATTAATGATCCTGCTCTCTGTCTCTCTGACCCTCATTTCTCCTCTGTGGTAGGCAATGGGATCTCCAGCACCATCCATTACAGCCTGTCCCTGGACCCCGGGCGGACGAAGATCCGAGCCGCCTTCGACTCCACCGGCTCCGTCCTGAGCAGGGAGCTGCGGCTCGGCATTGAGAAGAAATGTGAGACGTATCAGATAAAGTTACCTGTGAGTGCTGGGGTCCTAACTCCTTCCCCTCCTGCTGTGTCTGCCCCTCCAACCCTGCCCCTTGCTCCCAAATCACCCAGATAACAAACCTCTCTATAGATCCCACCTTTGCTCATGGGTCCCTACGTGTCTCTCTGTCTCCCCAGCTCTGCCCTGAGGACACACTGACCCCCATCACCCTGCGTCTCAACTACACCCTGACGGGGGAGCCCATCGCTGCTGCCGGCCGCCTCAGACCCATCCTGAGTGAGGACTCCGCGCTTGTCTCTGCAGGCTCGGTAAGGCCTCCGGAGCCAGGCAGTGGTGA